ATGCACGCACACATACACACCACAGCACACACGTGCAAACATGCCACACACAATGCACGCACACATACACACCACAGCACACACATGTGCAAACACACCACACACACATGTGCAAACACACCATGCACACACCACACAAACACATCATGCACACAAATAAAACATTTCTTGTGTTTTGGGGCTGTGAGGAGACAGAGAAGATAATCAAGCAAGATTCCAGGCAAGCCATGTACAAATGTCTCTTTATTACCATACAGCTACTGTGTGCCAGGAAGTGAGCTAGAGGTGCTTGTACAATCATCGATCTTCTGAGCATGTCTATAGAGACAGAAGGATTGTCCCCTCTCTGGAAATGGGATAGCTGAGGCTGGGGATGGTTAACATCAAGGCATTTCCCTTCTGAGCCCAAGTCACTGACAAGAACATCAGGTCTTTCCATGTGGCATTTTGCAATGGGGAGTCGGTGATGCCGTTCTCTGATTCTTGAAGAATAAGAAGCAGAAATAAATAATGGAACGATTGGCAGTGGTGGAAGGAGGTTGTCGGTGTTTCCATGATAAGATCTCTGTCCTCATCAAACTGTGAAACTGAATTGTGATATCTGGACCAGTGAAATGGCTCAGTGGGTACAGGTGCTTTTCACCAAGTCTGACAACCTGAGTTCAAATCCTCCAAAACCCACATGGCAGAAGGAGAGAACAAACTCCTACAAGATCCACTGGGTCTCTACAAACACTGACCTGCGTGGGACAAGCATTTTATTCATTTATGTATGTGTGCACGCATGTGTGAATAGAGGCCAGAGGCTGACATTTGGCTCTCTTCCGTAGTCCTTGTTCACCTTTTGAGACCTGGAGCTCGCTCATTTTGGTTAGACTGTCTGCCCCCAGTTGCTCATCTCAAAATAAACATTTTAAAATTGAGAAGTGGCTCGCTGGTTAAGAGCATTTGGTGGCTCTTCCAGAGGACCTGGGTTCCATTCCCGGCACCCACTTGATGCCCAACAACTGTTTGTAACTCTAGCCCGCAGGTATTCATGCTTCCTTCTGACTCCCACAGATACTACATGCATGTGGTGCACAGACATATATTCAGGCGAAGCACCCGCACACAGAAAATAAAATAAAAAGTTATGAAACATTCTTAAAGATGAGCATCTCACCTAAGAGTTTAACAGCAGTTCTAAAACAGCTGGAGCCATAGAAGCTTCTGGTTTTCTTTACATTCAGTATATGTGTGTGAGTGTGTGCGTGCATGTGAGTGTGCACATGCACATGCAGTCATGGTGCACCTGCAGAGATCAGAAGACAATTTGTAGGAGTCCAGGCATTTCTTCGGCCATTTGGGTTTCTGGGGCTTGAACTCACGCTGTCAGGCTCGGCAGGATGTTGCCTTCCCCACTGAGCCATTTTGCAGGACCCAGACTTCTGATTTGATCTTGAGATACTCTCAAATGCCAGCGCCCCAGGAAGGAGCCATCAGATAACCCAAAGGGATTGTCAGCCCCACCTCACCTGCCGCCCCTCAAAAAACAGTCTCCAACCCAGGACAGGGCTCCTCTGGTCGTCATCCTCCCGCTGCCTGACTGAGGGCAGGTGCACCTGCAACCCTGTTGCAGTCAGGGTTGCTTTCTGGTAGGAAAATAACCTCCGTCTTCCACTCGAAATAACACCACCTGCGAATTCTCATGCAAGCTTTTTGCATTTCATATTTGCGTTTGGATCCCAAATCCTGGGGCTTATTTGCTTGACCTAAGTAAGTGCTTTAGAAGATCAGTTTGTGGTTGCGGTGGGGAGCCACAGGCTGGGGAGAGAACCCCGTTGGTTACAAGCGTGAGGACCCGAGTTTGGATCCCTATCCCACACGTCAAAAGCCTGGCGCATCGGTGCACTGTGGGGTGTGTGCTAGTGGAAACAGACGGGAGCAATCGCTGAGATCTTACACTGCACAACTTAGCCTGGTCAGCAAAGTTGGGGTTGAACAAGAGACTTCGTCTCAAAACCACAAAGTGAAAAGTAGTGGAGAAAGACACTCGGGAGCACGTATACACAGACACATAGGAACACATACAGGCACGCATGCGCACACGCCTCCATGTCGGTTTTTTTTTTTTCACTTGGCTCCACAAACCGATTCACACCCTGCGTTGCCCCTTCTCCCGCTCCTCAGTGGATTGACCCTCAGATGAATCACAGCTTTGAAAGTACAAATATTGATTTCCCTCCAGGCTTGTTATCTTCAAGAGGGTCTCTCTGCAAGGACATCTCCCATGCTCACGAGTCAATCAAGGTTCTGCCAGGGGCCCCAGGGGTTCCGGGGTCTTGACTCACGAGCAGCCCTCCTTGCTGGAAGTCCCTGGAAATGAGTGTGAGGGCAGTGGCTACCGAGTGAGAGGTTGGGCAGGAGACAGCCAGGAACGTGCTAATAAATCACCGCGGCGCCTCGGTCTCCATCGAGGCAATTACCGGAATCGGTTGCCTCCGTGGCTCCTTAGTCACGGCTCTGATTGCTTCTCTCAGATGAAGACGGACGGGGTAGAGGCCAGGTGCACGCAGGCATGTGGTGTCAGAAAAATTAACCATGGCACGTCCTCTGCCTTCTTATACAGACATCCCCGGGGTCTCGGCGAGGCTGACAGGAGAGTGTGGGTAGAGTGGAGGGGAAGCCCATGAGTTGCGGGTGGTATTAGTAGGACTTTAGCTGCTGCCCTTTTTAAAGTTCCTACCCATGAATGGGGTATGACGCCAGGTTCCCCGCTGGAGCAGGTCACAGCAACAGTAAGCTGGTGCAACGCACATTGCTGGACCCCATCTCTAGGCTCCAGAGTGGGCCCCTAAGCGTTACATTGCTAGCAGAATTCTAGAGTGCTACGGTTGTCACTGGACTAGACACCGCCCCCCTCGCCCCACTCCGAGAACCACTGGGGGTACTAGTCAAGATCGTGGACCCTGGGACCAGGCTACATAACTTTTGGAACGGCTGTCGTAATGCACCAGCTGTGTGATTGTAAGCCATTTACTTAACCTCTCTATGGCTCCATTCCTCATCTTGAAAGGAGGGATGATAATATTAGCATTTACCCCTTGGGGAATTTGCAAACCTTCAAGACCTTGGAAACATTCAGAAAATGCCTGTGTCAGAGAACATAGCCTCTTGGGACTGTGACCAGAGAAAGCCATGTCTCTTATGTCTAATACCTGCAGGTCTCAGTGAAATCACTGGGTCATTTTAACTATTAGCCATCCATCCCATCTCTGGTGTCCAAGAACAATAATGTCCAGCTCAGTGCCAGGAGGGGGCTGGACACACCCATGTCCACCAACATCCTCTTCTCGGGCTGCCTGACCTTTCAAATGAGATACAATGGGGCCTGGTGAGCTAGGGACTCTCGGCAGCCTTGCAAATAAGGTCTCTGGCCCCCTGTGTTGCTCAGGCCTCTGGCAGCCTCATGCTGAGCCCTGCTGTTACTCCATTACAAGTGCATGTTTCAGTTCTGAAGATCATGCTCAAGACCTTGCACATGCTAAGCACATGCCCCACCATGGAGCTATGCCCTTAGCCTCTTGACACCATGTTTTCAGCTGCATCATTTTATTTATGCTTTGTGGCATCACTAGTAGACAGAAGAGGGCAAGAGATTTGGAGCTCATGTTCCCCCTCATTTTGCGGCTGGATTTCTCTTGTTATTCTCTGCACCCCCCAGGCTAGCTGGCGCACAGGCTTCCAGGAAATTCTTGCCTCTGCTTCCCATTTGCTGCAGGAAGACTGGGAATATAGATTTGCACTATCACATCTGGCTTTTTTTTGCGTGAGTTCCAGGGATGGAACGCAGGTCATGAGGCTTGAGTGGGAAGTACCTTTCCTGTTGATTCATCTGGCCAACCCCTTGAAGGTACAGATTTAAAATCCATTCGAGAGGTGATGGAGCTTGCTTCGTAGGTGTAGTGATTGCCATGCGGGCATGGTGACCTGTGCTTCGAGCCCCAGCACCCACATAAAACGCAAGAACAGATGTGCCAGCTGGGTGGTGGTGGTGCTCGCCTTTCTCCTAGCACTAGAGAGGCAGAGGCAGGTGGGTCTTTGCGTTCAAAGCCAGCCTGGTCTGCAGAGCTAGTTCCAGGACAACCAGGGCTACACAGAGAAACCTATCTTAAAAAAAAAAATCAGGGTGCCTATCTTAACATCAGTGCTGGCAATAGGGAGGCAGGAGGATGCCTGCAACTCACCCAGCCAACTTGGTGAGCTCTAGGGTCAGTGAGAGACCTTGTATGTCTTTTAAAAAAAAAAAATTTTAAAAAGCCAGGCATGGTGACATACACCTTTAATTCCAGTGGATCTCTGTAAGTTTGAGGCCAGCCTGGTCTACGTAGTGAATTCCAGGACCGTCAGGACCACACAGAGAGATGCTGTCTCACACTACCCCCACTTCCAAACTTGAGATGAAGAGTGATTGAGGAAAATATCCAACAGTTCATCAGCATCTATATACTCACATGCATGCACGCACATACGTCTGCATACATCACACTTGTGCTCACACACACTTGTGCTCACACACACCCAGCTGACCAAGAACCTCTGATCTCAAGGATGCACTGTGCCACCTCCCTCATTTTGTGTGCACATTAACGCAGGGGTTACGGTGGGGTCCCTGGGGAGCAGGTGAGCTCCGCAGACCTGGAGGTGGCTTCTGTAACAGGCATCTGCTCTCCGTGGCTGGCAGTGGCTGGCAGTGGCTGGCAGCCGGCTTCACCGTGCAGAGTGACTCTCTGGGAATGTGATTCCGCGCCATCCCCCTCCCCAACACTGCTCACCGACTTCCGGGAGAAATGATGCTCATGGCGGTGGCTTCTCCTACAGGCTGTGGTTATTGATGTATAATATATCTTACCATCCCTGCTACAGATCTATGCTCCCAACCTAACGGTCAGGCGAGCAGCCCCAAGCCATACTACGGACGTGACAAGCAGTGCTAATCAAAGTCTGCTTTTTTTCCACAGTGCTCCTTCCTACCGAAATTCTCCATCCACATAGAAACCAAGTACGAAGATAACAAAGGCAGCAACGACAGCGTGAGTAGCCAGCCCTCTTGTAGTCCTCTGGCCCCGTGCAGCTCTCAAGTCATGGCCTCTGAAGGTCACAGTAGCTCACCCGGTCCTGGCCGTCCCTGGGACCTGAGAGAGGTTCTGGCCTTGGACCTCTGGGGCCAGGCCTGGTGTACCTTATAGTCTAGCTTTCCTCTCTGCTAATGTGTGTGTCCTTCCAATGGGCCCCTTTGCAAGAAGTGATTACCATGAGAAGTAGAGAGACTGGAAACTCAGAGTTCTCTGATTCCATTTCTGACTGCACCTCTCCAGTGCTGGGATCACAGGGCATGGGCTCAGCTCTGAGCAAACTCCGCTACTCATTGAGAAGGATATGTCAAACACAATGGTCAGAAACAGGATCGGGAATGGGAGGTGCTTGGGGCATGCTTGCTATAACAGTATTGGCAAGGACCAACCTGGCCGATACCTGGTCGTTTCTGCTTCTTGAATTATGACAGGCAAGCTGGACTCCTCGGGTGATGGCAAACTACTTTGTTTTGTTTTGGTTCGGTTTTCTGTTCATAGGTATATGTGGATGATGCACCTGCATGTGTGTATGTGTGTTCATGTGCGAATAGGTGTCCATGTGCATTAGGATACATATGCACGTATGTGATTGTGTGTAGATGGAGACCTGACGTTGATGTCAAAGGTCCTCCTGGATCTCTCGCCACTTTATTCATTGGGGCAGCATCTCTCAGTTGAACTCAGAGCTGCCTGATATGGCTAGTCTGGCTAGCCCCTTGTTCCGGGGATCTGTGTCTCTCTTCTAAGGCCCTGGCCCTTGTGCGGAAGTGTTTTAGTCACTAAGCTGTCTCCCAGCCCAAACTATTTCCCTCCCTCTCTCCCTCCCTCCCTCCCTCGCTCCCTTCCTCTTTCCCTCCCTCCTTCCCTCCCTCCCTTCCTTCTTTCTTTTATTTCCTTCTTTTTTTCAAGACTGGATTTCTCTGGCTGTCCTGGAACTCACTCTTTAGACCAGGCTGCCCTCAAACTCAGAGATCCGCCTGCCTCTGCCTCCCGAGTGCTGGGATTAAAGGCGTGCCCCGCCACCACCCAGCTAATATACACTTCAAATATGCAATGAAGAAAAAAGCTCCTAAATGAAAGGGAAGCCAAGAGTAACCCCGTGATTCAGAGATGACTACCTATCCTTGACTCACATTACAAGATATTGGTGATTTTTTTTAACCAGTTCCTCCCAGATTGAATCATACGGTATGCTATTTTTAACACAGCATGGGGTACTCTTCCCCACTTGAGGATCTATGTGTGGGCCAGAGGTCGACATTGTGTCTGTTTCTCAATCGCTCTCCGTCTTATTTTCTGAGCACACTTCTCTCGCTGAACCTAGAGTTCCCTTACCTTGCTAGGCTGCCCCAGGGAACTGCCTGTCTCGGCTTCACTAGCACGGGGGCACAGGCAAGCGGAAGGTTCTCAGGCCCAGCTTTCCTCGCTGGTGCTAGAGTTCTGATCTCAGGTCCTCGTGCTTGGACAGCAAGCAGTTTGCGTCCCGAGTCATCTTCTCCCCAGCTCTCGTCTGTGGTTTTGAAGGTCTGCCCTGCCTTCTCCAGTTCAGTCCTGGCTGCTCGCTGGAGAGGGACATGAGCTTCAGTGTGCTGACAGAGCTATGGGCAATCGGGAAAAGCACAGTGAAAACCAGATGCCAGAACTGCTCTGGCGAGCACCGCTGGGGGAAAAAATGTGGGTTTGGGGAATGGAGAGATGAATGGTTCAAAGGTTAAGGGCACTTGCTACTCTTGCAAAAGACCCGAGTTCATTTGTTAGCACCCATAACTGGCTATCACTCCAGTTCCAGGGGATCCGACATCCTCCCTCTTCTGGCCTTCCTGGTCGGGCGTGCACACAGTACACAGATGTACGTGTAGGCAATATAGAAAATAAAAATAAAAGTAATTTTGAAAATAGTCCTTCCAAACAAATTCTTTTTCTCAGACTCTGTCTCTGAGTTTCATTCCGTGTGAGTTAACTCACATCAGCTCTCTCTGTGTGTATATAGATGGCAGAGAGAGCGTCTTGAACCTCACAGATTGACAAGGCCCCTGCAATCTTGAGGCTTCCTACGCTCGCCTCTGCCTGGCCCCGCTGTCGGTTCTCCGTGTGTTACTCCTGGGGCCACTGGAGCAGAGTCCCAGCTCCACTTGATCAGGCCCCCCTTTGGCTCTGCACCCTTCTCTAGCTTCCATAGTCAGCAGCTCCTCAATGTTGATCCCAGGAGGAAGAAAAGGAAGGCTCTTTTAAGTGCGTATTTATCTAATTCTAATGATGACAAGGTAGCTCTGCTCAGTAGGGGTCAAGTCCAATGCCTTGTTCTGCCCGGAGTTGAGGAGGCAGAATGCAGAAGGCAGTGGGTTGTGGGTATCTGAATCATTATTTATTAAATGCGGTTCACCTCTGCCTCTTCTATGTACGTGCTCTTATCATTCAGCTTCCATCCTTCGCGCGTCTATCCGCGCCATTTCCACCCCTACCTGCCAAAATTTTAATGAAATGGATGCTGATAAGGAGCAATAATTAAATTGAAAGACTCTGGTGATAATTGCATTGATTAGTGGCTGAATGGAGTACATGTTGCTATCTTATTACCAGTTATCATCTCAGTCATAAATGTGATCCAAAACCCAGTAGAAACACATTTTCAGAATGACTAGACTGAAACATCTTCTCATTAAAGAAGAAACTGCTAAGTGCATGTTTTTGTAAACCTGCAAACTGGTTCCATCAGCCGGGACACAATGGGGAAGTTGTCTTAAACTGATGCCCGTTTATTTCATGCACAAACTGATGGGAACTATTTAGGCCTTAATTAGCGCCGGGGAGGATGGGACCATGCCAGAGCAAGGTTCTGTTGTTTGTTCAAGGCCATAAATCTAGACTGAGAGTCAGCGCTCAGCACTGCCTGGTTCAGCTGAAGGGGCGACCCCTCCTGTGACACCTGCTGCAGGGTGACAGTGTGCCAGGGGGTTAATGAGGGCAGCCTGGCCTCTGCTTCCGCTTCTAAACAAAGCAGGCACCATGCAAAGCAGCAGTTCTCAGCCCTGCTGTGCGCCAGGCTCACCTAACCTAGCTAGCTTGTTTGCTTGTCTGTCTGATCCAGGCTAGCCTTGAAATCCACCCACAGGCCGGCCTCTCTCTTGGACCATCTTCTTTCCTGAGCCTCTTAGCTGCTGGGATTATAGGCATGTGCCACCAAACCCAGCTCACCTGAGAACTTGTTTATTGCTAATACATTTAGTGCGTGCGTGTGTGTGTGTGTGTGTGTGTGTGTGTGTGTGTGTGTAAGAGCATGATACCATGGTGCACGAATGGAGTCAGAGGACGGCCTGTAGGAATTGCTTCTCTCTTTTCTACCACATAGGTCCCCATACATCAGGCTCGGTGGCAAGTGTCTTTACCCGCTGAGCCATTTCACGGAGAAGCCTTAACTACTTAGGGCCCATCCCTCTGGGGCTTTTGTTTATTTGGGGACAGGTGCAGATTGTTCAAACACTGATTTCTCCACATGGGTTCTCCCCATCCGTGGCTGAGCCTCCTCTGTTCCCTTGGTGTGGGGTTTAGAGTATATACCACCCTCGCCCACCATGATAGCCTACTCAGCGGTTCTAATGAACGCTTTGTGATGACATCATCCTGAAAGCTGAGCTCCTGTCCACACCCAAGGGCCCATGATCTCACTGATCACAGGTGGAATCTGGGCATTACTATTTTTAACACCCTCCCAGGTGGATCGAAGGGGCAAAAGTGCTGAGCACCCACAGATTTGTGTATAAATATTTAGTAAAGCAGGCTGTCCAAATGGCTCCACTTCTTCAGACCCGTGAAAACAGAAGCATCCCCAAAGGGTCTTTGTGGTCCGGGAAAATGGTTCAGGCTTGTAAACGTGAGGGCCAGAGTTTGGAACCCCAGAAACATGCCTAAATGCCGGGTGGCTATGGAAGCCCACGTGTCATGCTAGCCTCAGGAGGTAGAGATGGCTCCTCAGAGCGAGCAAGCTGACTAACAGTAAGACTAGCCATCTCAGAGAGCCAATCAGGTTTGGTTAATGGACCCTGCCTCAAGGCTAAGGTGGCAGGGTATTCCCAAAGGATCCCAACATCAACCCACATGTGTGTGTGCATGCACAAATACAGACACACAACTCACACACACAAATACAGACACATTCACACTTAAGAATGGGGGGGTTGCTTTTTGTAACCTTCAGCCTGCCTATATTTTGCTAGCCATATGTGTCATCAAGGACCTAATTCCTCCTCGAGCCAAGTCCTCTCTCTGGTAAAAAAAAAAAAAAAAAAAAAAAAAAAAAAAAAAGAAGGGTGTCTCTCTCTTTTCCAGTTCCAGGAAATTAAGCTATCTCACAGAGCCATCCCTGGAAGACATATTCACAGTGTGTAATTTCTAATCTGCCTGTGTTGTAATGAAAGATGGTGGCTGTTTCTTATGAGACAGGCAGATAGATCGGGGCTCGCGCCCATCTCTGACAATAGGCCGTTCCTTTGGCCAGTCAGAGACTCTGTTTCTTTATGAAGGAATATGAACTTGATAATGCTGGCGAGTGTGGAGGATTCCTGGAGCTGAAGCTAGAGAGGTACTGTGTACATGTCTGATGTCCCCATCACCTCCATGGTGGCCATACTAGTTAATGGTGTGTCCCTGATCAAATTTTGATTTGGTCCAAATTGTCAAACAAACATTTTGGGACTTTTCTTTTCCACCCTCTAGTTTCCAAATAACAGACATGGAGACTAAATATTAATTATAAATGCTCAGTCAATAGCTCAGGCTTCTTACCAACTAGCTCTTATAACTTAACCCATTTCTATTCATCTATGTGCTGCCACATTGCTCCCGGCTTTAGCTGTCTTCCAGCATGTCTTGCTCCCTCTGTGTCTCCTGATGCTCTTCTGACTCCATCCTTAATCTTCCCAGAATTCTCCTCATCTGACTTTCCCAGTCTCTCCTGCCCA